TATACACATATATATACATATATATATACACACATATACACACACACACACACACACACACACGTACACACACATATATATAGTGGGGCAAAAATGTATTTAGTCAACCACCAATTGTGCAAGTTCTCCCACTTAAAAAGATGAGAGAGGCCTGTAATTGGCATCATAGGTAGACCTCAACTATGAGAGACAAAAATGAGAAAAAAAATCCGGACAATCACATTGGCTGATTTGGAAAGAATTTGCAAATTATGGTGGAAAATAAGTATTTGGTCAATATCAAAAGTTCATCTCAATACTTTGTTATATATCCTTTGTTGGCAATGACAGAAGTCAAACGTTTCCTGTAAGTCTTCACAAGGTTGGCACACACTGTTGCTCGTATGTTGGCCCATTCCTCCATACAGTTCTCCTCTAGAGCAGTGATGTTTTTGGGCTGTCGCTGGGCAACACGGACTTTCAACTCCCTCCAAAGGTTTTCTATGGGGTTGAGATCTGGAGACTGGCTAGGCCACTCCAGGACCTTGAAATGCTTCTTACGAAGCCACTCCTTCATTGCCCGGGCGGTATGTTTGAGATCATTGTCATGTTGGAAGACCCAGCCACGTTTCATCTTCAATGCCCTTACTGATGGAAGGAGGTTTGCACTCAAAATCTCACGATACATGGCCCCATTCATTCTGTCCTGTACATGGATCAGTCATCCTGGTCCCTTTGCGGAGAAACAGCCCCAAAGCATGATGTTGCCACCCCCATGCTTCACAGTAGGTATGGTGTTCTTTGGATGCAACTCAGCATTCTCTCTCCTCCAAACACGACGAGTTGTGTTTCTACCAAACAATTATTTTTTGGTTTCACCTGACCATATGACATTCTCCCAATCCTCTTCTGGATCATCCAAATGCTCTCTAGCAAACTTCAGATGGGCCCGAACATGTACTGGCTTAAGCAGGGGGACACGTCTGGCACTGCAGGATCTGAGTCCCTGGCGGCGTAGTGTGTTACTGATGGTAGCCTTTGTTACGTTGGTCCCAGTCTCTGCAGGTCATTCACTAGGTCACCCCGTGTGGTCCTGGGATTTTTGCTCACCGTTCTTGTGATTATTTTGACCCCACGGGGTGAGGTCTTGCATGAAGCCCCAGATCGGGGGAGTTTATCAGTGGTCTTGTATGTCTTCCATCTTCTAATTATTGCTCCCACAGTTGATTTGTTCACACCAATCTGCTTGCCTATTGCAGATTCAGTCTTCCCAGCCTGGTGCAGGTCTACAATTTTGTTTCTGGTGTCCTTCGACAGCTCTTTGGCTTCACCATAGTGGAGTTTGGGGTGTGCCTGTTTGAGGTTGTGGACAGGTGTCTTTTATACTGATAACGAGTTCAAACAGGTGCCATTGATACAGGTAATGAGTGCAGGACAGAGGAGCCTCTTAAAGAAGAAGGAACAGGTCTGTGAGAGCCAGAAATCTTGCTTGTTTGTAGGTGACCAAATACTTATTTTCCACCATAATTTGCAAATAAATTCTTTCCAAATCAGCCAATGTGATTGTCTGGATTTTTTTTTCTCATTTTGTCTCTCATAGTTGAGGTCTACCTATGATGCCAATTACAGGCCTCTCTCATCTTTTTAAGTGGGAGAATTTGCACCAATTGTTGGCTGACTAAATACGTGTGTGTGTGTGTGGGTGTGGTGTGTGTGTACATATATACACATACATACATTCATACACACATTTTTATATTGGTTGCACATTTTCACATAATATTGTCTTTTTTTGATATGTATATAATTTTGTTAGAATTCATTTGAGATTTATATTTATGCAATAATTATCCCTTTTAAGTGTATTTAGGCACTATATATGGAAGCGCAACACCATTTTTTCTTTTTATGTTTGTAAACGCATTCAGGTATATAGCCAGGTGATAGCAGCTTCCAGTTCTTTATATTTATTTTTAGAGTATCGCAGGTGGTTTACATACTATATTAAATACTGAGTTGGCCCACCATTTGCAGCTATAACTGCTAACTGCTTCAACTCTTCTGGGAAGGCTGTCCACAAGGTTTAGGAGTGTGTCTATGGGAATGTTTGACCATTCTTCCAGAAGTGCATTTGTGAGGTCAGGCACTGATGTCAGACGAGAAGGCCTGGATCGCAGTCTCTGCTCTAATTCATCCCAAAGGTGTTCTATCGGGTTGAGGTCAGGAAATGTCTCGTTATGCTGACGCCTTAAGGAGTTCCTTTCATTGGAACTAAGAAGCAAAGCCCAACCCCTGAAAAAGAACCCCACACCATAATCCCCCCTCCACCAAACTTTACACTTGGCACAATGCAGGCAGGCAAATACCGTTCTCCTGGCAACCACCAAACCAAGACAAGTCCATCAGATTGCCAGACAGAGAAGTGTGATTTGTCACTCCAGAGAATACATCTCCACTGCTCGAGTCCAGCATTGGTGTGCTTTACACCACTGCATCCGACGCTTTCCATTGCACTTGGTGATGTAAGGCTTGGATGCAGATGCTCGGCCATGGAAACCCATTCCATGAAGCTCTCTCTACGCATAGTTGTGCTAATCTGAAGGCCGTACAAAGTTTGGAGGTCTTTAGCTACTGATTCTGCAGACAGTTGGCGACTTCTGTACACTGTGCTCTTCAATATGCGCTGACCCTGCTCTGTCATTTCAAGTTGCCTACCACTTTGTGGCCGAGTTGCTGTTGTTCCCCACTTTCTTCCACTTTGTTACAATACAACTGACAGTTGACCGTGGAACACTTAGTAGCAAGGAAATTTCAAGGATGGACTTATTGCGCAGGTGGCAACCTATCATGATACCATGCTTGAATTCACTGAGCTCCTGAGAGAAACCCATTCTTTCACAAATGTTTTGAAGAAGAAGTCTGCATGCCTAGGTGCTTGATTTTATACACCTGTGGCCCTGGAGGTGATTGGCAATATAGTTTATGTATATAAGAATAAAACATTCCTTAGTATCTCAGTGATGAATCAAATATCCAAACATGCACAATACAAACAAAAAATATGATAACAGAGTCCTTATAATAAACTGCAAAATATATCTTCACATGCTCCAGATTTGTGTTAGCAGTGCAATGTCCGCACTTGTATAGTAAGAAATGTGCTCCCAATATCCATATGCTGCAACACCAACATGTGCTTGCACCTGTCAATGCTGCCAATTCCCTCCACTTATTGACCAACTTTCCATTTAGGTCAAAATCAGCCTTCCCAATAATTTGGGTAATCTTTCTCGCTTCACAATCTTCTGTCAACAGATCAATGGTTCAAATAAAAGCCATTATGGTAGGAAATCAAGATCTCTCAGTGTAGTAACCCCAAGATGCCAATTTATTCACATATTACAAGAAAAAAAAAAAAAAGGATACCATACTTAGGTGATCAGCTTACCAGGCTAATTACCCTTCTCTGTTTAAAATGGACAGAGCTGTTGTCCTCTTGGTCTCATTTGCCACTGTCCTGGCTTGGTAGGATAACTGCCATCCGCATGTCTTAACGACATTGCTATATGCTTTTCGAGTCCTACCAGTTCCCCCCTCACATTTTACGCATTTACCAGCATTCAATTCTTAAACTTATCAACATGTAATCAAGCTTACAGAGCCTCATGTGTAAAATGCTGGGTGTACCAAAATGGCGCTTACGCCGGAAGTGACGTCACTGCGTCTCCGTAATTGTCCGACGAGTTTGCGCCACGTATCACGTGACTTCCTCACAATTTTTCCCTGATTTAAGGGATGCATGTTTAGTGTCTCACTATTTTCGTCATTTGAGATTTATATTTATGCAATAATTATGCCTTTTAAGTGTATTTAGGCACTGTATATGGAAGCGCAACACCATTTTTTTCTTATGTTTGTAAACTCTGTATTTAACACTACGGACTAAGACTGGGATGCTATTAAAGGTCATGTGCGTGTAAAGGCAGACGTCCCAATAATTTTGGCAATATGGTGTAGACAATCTAAGCATGTACACGTATAGCTACCATTTGCTTGCACAGAACTTTACCATGTTGCCAACAGTTTATTGGGTAAAGTCTCCTATGGCAAAAGGCTGTCATTCCCATACATACCGAAATTCCTATGGCAGACCCTATCTTGCTTGAAGGCTGCAACTTTGTATGGAATTACATTTCAAAGTTACACAGAAGTCCCTCTCTCACTTAAAGACTGCCAAGACAGTGCAACCTTTTATTGATCCATAACTCCATCATTTGCATATCAGGTCCTACCAGATTCTGAGGCTTCCAGTTTTTCCAGTGCAATTTTCTGTATGTAACAGTCTAAGGTTTGTAAGTCTAAAAGTCACTCCACACTGCACCGCAGCTCATCATCTGACCAGAAGCTGCCATAAGATGCACTTCCATACAGGGGATACATATACTGTATACTTTAAACTGTTGTGAAAGATTAAACTAGTTAATATAAAATTACCCATAAATAATATTCCCAATATGGCATAACGTAACATCCAAAAAAAGGGATCAATCCAAACAATTCATATGTGTGATGTTTAGGCATTTACAGAGCAAACCATCCATGTTAGCCTCTGCATGATCAAGAATGTACAATTTTTGTTCTTTTGTACTCCCATCCATAGATGTATTAATCCATCACTTGAATTAACAACTGTTCAAGCAACTTTTCATGAGAAGATGAAATTTTGACACCAGGCAATATGTAAACTGTCAACTACTTTGTCAGATATCACACTCATGACATCTGGACGGAACATACAACTGAGGGCTAGTTTCAGAATGCAGCCAGCTCTCACTGGTGCACAGTGAAAGATAGCACCGTGGACAGAGAAATGCAGAACACAGCAAAAAGGCATAGAGAAAGCAGCTGGTGAGTACTTTTGCAGGGCATATTGAGATCTGGCAATTACCAGTAGTAGGGTTAAAATGTAGAAGCTATTGAAATGTCTTGTAAGTAATGTTGGAGAAAAACAAGAAATATACCTTGCAGCTCCCAGACTTTCAAAGGCAACATCTCATTAGTGCTTTCAATCAGATGTTTTCGAAACTCCACCAAATTATTTTTCAAATCAGGATACATTTGTCTTAAAAAAAAAAAAAATCCAACAAAAATTGTAAATTAAACATAGGACACAGAGGAATAGTGAGATATACAGTAATGTGCATAAAATTACAATAACACAATATAACTTATTAGCAGAAGCCAATTTATAGTTCAGTCATGCAGCGCAAAAGAAAGCCATCAAAAAAGTTAAAAAAGAGTTAGTTCAACTTTTAACAAACAATGAACAGTTGAACTAAATTACAACACCCTCCCCACCAGCCAGACATGGCTGCACTTGGCTACCTAGATGATTATCTTCCGATGCCCACACTAACTGATGTAGCTGTCTGGGCATTTGAAAACTGTACTCTTTAACATCCTTCATTTCTCTGTCTCAGAATAATGAGGGTTCAGAGAATCTCATTGGTCATAGGCACATGCCGGTGCTCACCAATGACCACTAGCCATTGCTAGTATAATCATTACACCACATCCTCCGGGCTGCATACTTTATATTTTAAATGATCCAACTGCTATAACAACTTGCATGGGCAGTGGAAGGAAATCAAAGAAGCGAAGTACAACAGGATCAGAGGGGTGGTTGAGGATGCTGTAAGTTCGCCTTTTTTTTTTTTATAAAAGTGAATTAACCCTTTAAAAAGAAACAGGCAGATTTACTAAAACTAGAGAGTGAAAAATGCATAGAACCCAATCAGCTTCCATTTTAATTGTCAAAGCTTAGTTGAACAAGTTGAAGTTAAAAGCTGATTGGCTACCATGCACAGCTGCACAAAAATTCTGAGTACTCCAGATTTAGTAAATCAACCTCAATGTGTCTGGAACGGGCTTGACAAAGTCCAGACCCAAATTCCACAGAGATGATGTGAAACAGCTGGACAAGTTTCCTGTGGGTTCCAAAAGCACAGCTGCAATTCCTCCCCCACCCCCCCAAAAAAAAAAAAAAAAAAAAAAAGACTGAAAGCAAAATTACAAAATATTGACTAATTTAGTTACTACAGCTTAAGCAAGAACAACCACTATGAAGTGAAAAAAAAATAGGCTCACTAATAATGATAAAAAAAGAAAAAACCCACCACAAAAAAAAAAAAAAAAAAAAAAAAAAAAACCTGCCTGAAGGATCTTATGCCTGAAGCTGACATTAGATGTGGCCTGAATATCCACCTGCTAAACTTTTGAACACTAAACCAGGCAGCAGCCTTGCAAAGCTGTGAAAAAGCTGCCCGACACTAAAAAGGCCAAAAAGTGCTCATGGATCTAGTAGAGAGCACTTTCACAAGAAAGTGCAGAACCTAATCCTTAAGACCATGAGATACCATAAAAAGCTGGAGCAAGAAGAAAGAAAAGAAAAGAAAAGAAAAGGAGAAAAGAAAAGGTAGAAAAGAAAGAAAAGGTAGAAAAGAAAGAAAAGAAAAGACTTTCAAAAGTTGGAGTGGTTGAGCAATATTAATAAACTGCAGACAATGAAGGGAAATTGAGGTGAAATGCTGAAACAACATTAAGAAGGAAAGACTCTAGGCTTCAGGCTTTAAAACCAAAAAGTCTTTGTTTTACAAGACAAGGCCACCACATGAGACACCCTGTACATATGTCTCAGAGAATGGGAGGCTACTGCTGTGGACCGAGATTTGACCCTTTTATGGTACTCAGTGTCAAATGCGGATGTAGGCCTGACTGTAAAAGGTCAGGATTCATCCCAAGGAGTATTTCTTTGGATTAAAGAGTCTTTCCTCACATCAAGCAAATTATTTCTTTCATGTGCAATTGTACACCTTTTGGGAAGTAGACTTCCTAGTTTTTAACAACATTGGAATCACAGATTCCAGAGCATCTGCCAGGGATCTGATTAAGTCAGAGTACCACATCCACCTGGGCCAATTTGGAAGTTGCTTATCGCCAGATGTCCTCCATCTGGATCTTGCAAAGCAAATGAGGAGTTTTGGGGGAGCACAGGCATAAATCAGCCTATACAGATCCCATGGACCCACCAAAACATCTACTGCTTCCGCCAGAGGATTTCTGTACCTGAAGGCAAACCTGTTCAATTTGTTGTTGAACCTGGAAGTTAGGATGTCCACATCCAGTATCTCCTCCTGCAATGACACAGGTCATTGGAACACCTCCGGGTACAGGACCCCTTCTCCTCTGATCAAAGCTCCGATGGTGAAGGAAGTCTGCCTGCCAATTGTCCAACCAACATAAACAGAAGACAAGGCTGGAACACTTGAAGCACAATCCTTTCTACGTCTCAGTCTTCTGGTTCCTTCCTGATGGCAGATGTATGTCACTGCTGTAGTGATGTCCAGTTGTCTGGATTCCAACAGGATGACCTTGCAGTTGGGATCTTGTCCAGTGTTGCAAAAATACTGATTTGGAGACAGAACTGCTTCGGCCTCCAAGTCCCCTGCACATGGTCTCTCAGGACTCCTTCCCAGCCTGAAAGGCTGGGGAGGAATCCTGAACAGAGTCATCCCATGATGATAGGATGTTGGGTTGTAAGAGACTGGCGTAGAACTAACACAACAAACTTGCACTGAACTCCAGGCTTGGGCCTGTCATTAGAAGTTATCGCATAGAAGTAATAAAAGGAACTGTTCTTGGCTGAGGATTTGGGGGGGGGGGGGGGGGGGGGTGAGGAATGTAGCAAGTATTCCCAGCTCAAGGTTTAAGCATCTACAGGGTTAGATAAGTCTACTTCCCCTAGTGACGTCCTTAATGACGGTGTCCAAGGCAGCCTCGAAGAGACCTTGTCCATCAAAAAGTATGCACTACAAATACATTTTATATGCCTGTGGCACTGTCCAACATTTCATCCAAAGAATTCTCCACATCTTCACAGATAGGATACAGATACTGGAGACAAAACAGAAGATATCCACTAACCCATCTACGCAATAGTTCACAACTACCAGTATGAGCTCTAACCACTCCACAACTGTGTCAAACATTATGACAGTAGACTAGACACACAGACTAGTATTACAGCCATTCAACATTGCAATGTAGGGTCTACCAGAAGAAAACAAAGTTTTAGAAAGACTCTCAAAATTGTTTCACCATGGTATCCTTAAACACTAGCACAACCCTCATCAGTGCTTTAAATAATTTATCAAGATGGGACAATACCAGATCAAAAGTAGTAACTACTCACTTATTAACCACCTCCCGTCCAGCCGTTGTATATAAAATGGCCTGAGGGTGGCAGTGAAGGGTCGGGTGGCCGCTGCTAAAAAAACGGCCTCCCCGCACCTTGCTTGTGCGCGCTCCCTGGGAGCGCGCAGCACCGCGATCCGGTGCCCGCTGTGTCCTCCGGACACAGTGGAACACCGATCATCAGACGGAACCTCTCTGCGAGGTCCCGATCATGTGATCACTGATTGGCCAATCATTGATCACATGCAGAGTAGTAAGCAAGATGTGAAATCTGTGAATGAGCACAGAGGTCACATGGTACAAGGCTATTCACAACAGCCTTGTACCATGTGACAAGATGTGACCAATCACAGCTCACACAGTAGTTCTCAATGGCTGCAAGAATGCAGAGAGAAAGAGAAATGATTGCTTTTACAGCCTCTATGGGTGTAAAAGCAATCAGTGTAAAAAAAAAAAAAAAAAAAAAAGTAGTACAGTGACAAGTATGTATAATGTATATGTAATTTGGGGTTTTTTTTTTTTTTTTACTAAAAAGATAACGAAATACATTTTGGACAAGATTTATGATAAAATACCATTTATTTGCAAAATTTTATAAGAAAAACACCTTTTTCAAAATTTTTGGACTTTCATTTACATATCAAAAAAAATAAAAATCCCAGAGGTGAATAAATACAACCAAAATAAAGCGCATTATAGGTTTTAAAAAAATGCAAAAAAAATTCATATAGGTACAGTGTTGCATGACCACGCAATTGTCATTCAAAGTGTGATAGCACTGAAAGCTGAAAATTGGCCTGGACAGGAAAGGGGTAAAAGTGTCCAGACTGGAAGTGGTTAATAAAAGGACTCCTCAAAAGGTTGGAGGAGGACTGTGGTAGGTTTGGTAGGTGAGAATAGTTTATCTAGAGTTTTTCAGTCTATGTATAGGACATCTAGGTTTAGTGATTTGGAAAATGTTGTAGTCTGAGGATCTTTAAGGGATAACAGACAAGTAGCAGCATTTGTGGAAGCTAGAGACAGCTGTGCCATTTAAGCTGTCATGCACTGCATGAATAAGTGCTGAAATGGTCACTGCAAAACTGTGACTCTTAAAAGACAACATCCAGCAAGGATTTTTTAAGACTTCATCAGACAGCGCCAACATAGCAGAAGGTTCAGAGGATGGCAATGCTGTAGGTAAGTCAGGTAATGATTCTGCAGGGGAGTGCAGGTATGCTTATGGTCTCTGCAGTCTAAGTCAACAATCAAATTTGCAACTTGGTCTATGAAAATCTGCATAATGTTGGTGAGGTAAAAACCAGGAGGGTAACATAGACAACTAAGCTAAGGAAGACTCAAGCAGGAGACAACGTTCCAAGCTGTCGGTGTCAGGCTCTTCAGAGGGAGCACTGCAGGATGCCCCAGATAAATGGCTAATAAAAAAAGGCATGATAGGAGTGGGTGGGCTTATACCAGAATTTTTTTTGTTTGGGTCCTGATCCTCTGTAGACAGCACTAAAAACCAAATATATGTATCCTGTGCCCCTCAATGAACAAGAAAAAAAAATATTACACAGATGCACTTTATCTTTTTTACCTGTAGACTTAAACCCATTTATAATTACAAATTAAACCAGGTGGGGGGGCAAACACTTTTTGAAAGTCAGTAAAATGAATTGCAATGTAACAGTGGATATATCCAATGAGGCCAAGTCATCATTACATTATTTATATTAAAAACAGAGCACATACTAGAATCCAGGGGTCGGCAACACCCAACATGCGTGCCAGACATGGCACACAGCCACATTTATGCTGGCAAGCGAGGGATGCCTTGGACACCCACCTCCCAGTAAAGCTGGCCAGCAGTTGTGGCTGCCTCTACACAAGAGGGGAGCAAGGGTAGAATCATCTCATTGCCCACCTGTCTCTGTTCCAGCCCACCTCAGGTGGCTTGCGCACAGCTGACATTGAAGCTGTGGATGACCAGACTAGGAGGTGGTGCACTGTGCTGCACCACACCACCCTTCCTCCCATGGATACCATGCCTGGGTCGGACTTGGTAAGCTCTTCCTCCTATGCTCGGACTCAGGCTTGAGACAGGATGTACAGCTGAGTGGCTCTTCCCCACACTGGACATAGCTAATCAGATTCTTTTCCAGATACAACCTCGATCGGCACAGCGAGTCACTGTTGATTGCAGTTCTGACCTGTGAAATCCTCAGATCAGAAATGAAGCACAGCTGCAACAGTCAGCTACACACTGTGCAAATCCAGGTTATGTCTGTAAAAGAAACTAATTTTAGCTATGTGCTGATAGGAGAGGTTCGGCTGAGTGCCCTGTCAACAGTGACCCCATCCTACCCCCCTGCTGAGCTCGGTCCTCTGCCCTGCCCTGCTGAGCCCTGTCCTTTGTCCAGCTGACCCCAGTTCTCTGCCCCATCCCTGCTGACCTCAGTCCTTTGTCCAGCTCACCCCAGTCCTCTGTCCTGCTAATTCCTTTCCAATACCCTGCTGACTCCATTCTCTGCCCTTCTGACCTCTCTCTTCCAGCCTGCTGATCCCTATGCAGTGCCCTGCCATCCTCCAGTCCTCTGCCCTACTGACCCCTGTTCTCTGCCCTGCTTTTTACTGCCCACCCACATCAGACAGGCTAGATCCAGTCCTAGTGTTGATCCAGACACTTCATGATACCTGCTCTCATTTTTGGACTGGTAAATAACCAGCTATTGGGAACTACTAATTTAGAGATGCAGGAATTGGTGCTGAATTGTGGCATGATGGCGCAGGAATTGGGGCTGATCTGAGGCGTGATGTGGCAGGAATTGGGGCTGATCTGAGGCGTGATGGCGCAGGAATTGGGGCTGATCTGAGGCGTGATGGCGCAGGAATTGGGGCTGATCTGAGGCGTGATGGCGCAGGAATTGGGGCTGATCTGAGGCGTGATGGCGCAGGAATTGGGGCTGATTGAATTGGCGTGATGGGCAGGAATTGGGGCTGATCTGAGGCGTGATGGCGCAGGAATTGGGGCTGATCTGAGGCGTGATGGCGCAGGAATTGGGGAATGATCTGAGGGGCTGTGATGATGGCGCAGGAATTGGGGCTGATCTGAGGCGTGATGGCGCAGGAATTGGGGCTGATCTGAGGCGTGATGGCGCAGGAATTGGGGCTGATCTGAGGAATGGCGCAGGAATTGGGGCTGATCTGAGGCGTGATGGCGCAGGAATTGGGGCTGATTGAGGCGTGATGGCGCAGGAATTGGGGCTGATCTGAGGCGTGATGGCGCAGGAATTGGGGCTGATCTGAGGCGTGATGGCGCAGGAATTGGGGCTGATCTGAGGCGTGATGGCGCAGGAATTGGGGCTGATCTGAGGCGTGATGGCGCAGGAATTGGGGTGATCTGAAGTCTATAGTGCAGGAATTAGGCTGATTTAAGGTAAGAAGGCGCAAAGCTCAATATTAATTTCTGTTATTACGTTGCTTACAGAATTTAGCTTATAAAAAAACCTTTTCCCGATTGTGTGAAGCTAACGTTTTTTTTTTTTTCATTATGTAGCTGGCACTCTCAATTTATTTGAAAATATTTTTTGGCACATTATGCTCAAAAGGTTGCCTACTCCTGCTATAATCTATTATTCTACAACATTTCTTTGTAGCAAAAATTCACATGTGCATGGTTTGGGAAACTTACATTAACTTGTCAAAATAAAACCCTTGAACGTCTGCATCGATTCCGTCATATGAACTTGTAGTAGAATTAGTGACTGCAAAAAAAAAAAAAAATAATACAACAAATTTATCATACTGCACTTACATAACATAAGACATACGACAGATACAGTTGTGTTCCAAATAATAGCAGTCAGACATCACTAACGTGATCAATCACTGTTTTTAGAAGAAATGATATTTCTACATGGCAAATAATTTACTAGCAGGTGTAGTAGAGTAATAGAAATCCAACAGATCCAACAGTCATGACATGCATGCTGCTAATTCTGTGTAATTGAATCACTAATTGAAAGGGGCATGTTCAAAATAATAGCAGTGGTAAGTTCTATTAGTGAGGTCATTCATTCTTTGAAAAGCAGGTGGCAATTATTGCCCTTATTTAAGGAAGGAAGGCAGCAAATGTTGTACATGCTGGTTACAGTGCATTTCTCTCTGAAATTCTGAGGAAAATGGGTCGTTCCAGACATTGTTCAGAAGAACAGCGTACCTTGATTAAAAAGTTGATTGGAGAGGGGAAAACATATAAAGAAGTGCAGAAAATGATAGGCTGCTCAGCTAAAATGATCGCAAATGCTTTAAAAATGGCAACCAAAACCTGAAAAGACGTGGAAGAAAGCGAAAAAAAAACTACCATTCAAATGGATAGAATAGCCAAAATGGCAAGGACTCAGCCAACAATCAGCTCCAGGAAGATCAAAGAAGGTGTAAAGTTACCTGTGAGTACTGTTACAATTAGAAGAGGCCTATGTGAAGCCAAGCTATCTGCAAGAAGCCCCCGCAAAGTCCCACTTGAAAAAAAGATGTGCTGAAGAGGTTACAATTTGCCACAGAGCACATGACTGGCTTAAAGAGAAATGGCGCAACATTTTGTGGACTGATGAAAGTAAGATTGTTCTTTTTGGGTCTAGTGGCCAGTAGACAGTTTATCAGACGATCCCCAAACACTGAATTCAAGCCACAGTACACTGTGAAGACAGTGAAGCATGGTTGCGCAAGCATCATGATATGGGGATGTTTCTCATAGTACGGTGTTGGGCCTATTTATCGCATACCAGGGATCATGGATCAGTTTGAATACATCAGAATACTTGAAGAGGTCATGCTGCCTTATGCTGAAGAGGAAATGCCCTTGAAATGGGTGTTCCAACAAGACAATGACCCCAAACACACCAGTAAACGTGCAACATCTTGGTTCCAGACCAACAAGGTTGACGTTATGGAGTGGCCAGCCCAATCCCCGGATCTTAATCCAATAGAAAACTTGTGGGGTGACATCAAAAATGCAGTTTCTGAGGCTAAACCAAGAAATAGAGAACTGTGGAATGTAGTCCAATCATCCTGGGCTGGAATACCTGTTCACAGGTGCTAGAAGTTGGTTGACTCCATACAACACAGATGTACAGCAGTTCTCAGAAACAGTGCTTATACAACTAAATATTAATTAAGTGATTCAAAGGAAAGCAAAATCTTCAAACATTTTTCAGTTTATATAGTGAATGTTTCAGTTTGTAAAGAAGAATACAAACACTGCTAATTTTTTGAACAGTCTAATATTCACTTTTCTTCAATTTTTTTTTTAGAGGAACAACACAAATTTGATATATTTTCTCTTCATGTTTTGATTTGGAATAGAATGTGTAGTGTTCCCAATGCATTTGTATGTATGGAAATAAAAGCTGTTAGAAGGATTTTGAGCTTTATTCACTTTTTTCAACACACTGCTATTATTTTGAACATAACTGTATGTTAAGAAGGAGGTGTGTGTGGGTGGGGGGGGGGGAGACCACATTCTGTTTTTGCTGTAGACTACCATGAAATACCATCCGCTATTCCATTGTCCATGTAAACAAAGAGGGCCAGCCAGTAAATCATAGTAATTCTGAAATGCATAATCCATACTGTATAACTGCAGCATACATGTACAACTTCATATGCTTAACAGCACCTGCCTGTTTCTATACAGCCATAGCCACATGCTTCTAGTGTTTAAATGTCCATGCATGCAGGAAATTAGCGGAGATCTATCAATGCTAAGAGCTTAGCACATGCACACTAATCCTCCTATACCTATTCAGGCTACAATGCGCACAGCCGAAAAATTCTGACAAACATGTCATCCATAATCTAGGTTTCTAAAGAGCCTGTTTATTTCTAAGAATTTTCCTGTTCTAAACATGAGTATTTTTATGCAGGTATGAATATGCATGGAATGTAGATGGTCAATTCATTTGCATGTAGCATGCTCAAATCACTGCAGTACATACAGTATTTCTGGCTCCAGCACACACATTTTTAAGCCCAAAGGCATCAACAGTAAGGAGCAAAATGCCTGTAACATCACAAAAGCACACTTTCTGGTCTCCTATCATGTGAACAATTAAAGAATTTGTAAGTGGATTGTATTTGTGCTAGCTAGGTGCTGCCCCAGAGGGTAAGGGTTAACCTTCGTGCTTGGATTTTTCTCTTGGTGGCCTTTTTGGGTCTGGCCCATGCTGCTGGCACGTTACTAACTTCTGGGAGCATGTCGTATCGTAGAAGGTCATTGGGACCTGGGGTCACCCCAAAGACATCTGCCACTGGGGGATGCCACTCATGGACCTTTGAATACATGGACTCTACCTTTGCAGGTATGCCAGGGAAGCCTGAGTTAGGATCAGGGATGTAGGGACATGAGCCATTTTATTACACTGTGGACTTTGTTATGCTCAGAGTCTTAAAAAACGTTGCCTTCTGCCCGGTCTGAAGTTATTTCAAGGAGTGCAATATAAGTAACTAGCACATTTCTGCAGCTTTGGGTCACTAGCATATTGGGGTATGAAGAGACAACACTTAAAGAGTCATCCTGGTCCAGTACAGCAAGTGGTAATGGAAGTCTAAACGCTTTCACAGTGCACTTCCATAGCTTTTTTTATCATCTCAGAATGTACTACAGGAATCATGCCATTTCTGTTAATGGAGTTCTGTAATAAAAAACTGGCACAGGTAACAGGACCTCTGTAAAGCAAATATATGCACTGGTTTTGCACACAACTCTGCTGATCAAACCCCTTGTTTACAAAGGCTTCGATCACATACAATGACCCCCAAAGTAAACAGCATCTCCTTAGCTAATCCATAGTGCTGAGAATTATTCTTCATGTGTACATATAGTGTAAAAGATAAAAAGGAACTTATTACAAAATGACCTAAAATGCTCTATAGCTTTCCTTTAACTGTTCACTATTAACAAAAGTAAAACTGCACTGCTGCACACCAAGAAACCCAGTAAACTATGACAGAATGGAGTTTGGCATGGAAGGGGATTACAAGGGAGTTCATGCTCCTGGCAAATGGTTCAAAGAAACTCTATACCAGTTACCACCGTGGGATTGCTTTACTAAAGCCAGAAAGTTTAAAATCTGGTGCAGCTCTCCATAGAAACCAATCAGCTTCCAGGTTTTTTTTGTCAAAGCTTAATTGAACAAGTTGAAGTTAGAAGCCGATTGGCTACCATCACCAGAGCTGCACCAGTTTTTTAGTAAATCAACCACTGTGGATTACTACATAAAACATGGCACAAAATGGACCAAATAATGCAAGTACATACAGAACTGAATGTGAAAATGCACACAATGTTATGCAATGTACTGCAGCTATGTAATTATGAAACAGTCAAAGTATTCTCCTCATGGGAAACATATATTGTAAAACAGCTACTTTTTATTCCAGACAAATCACCCTGATGTAGAGTAAAAAGGCAGATAAAAAATGTACACAGTTATGTTTGAACAAGTGGCTCTAAAGCTTACGGTTTTCATGGGAAAAGCTGCAAAACTTATCTGTGGAAAGAACATTGAATGTAACATCATAAGATTATGGGTGAATGTTTGAAGAATTCACTGTCCTTTTCAAGAGGTTTGGTTTCTCTCTTTTACTAAAGCACATTGTTTCAGCTAGATTTTTTTTTTTTTTATCAGGTTAACCTTTCATGTGTAAAAATGTCTTATAATATATACAGTATATCCTTCTCTACCCTACTCTCTTTGAATATGATTTAATTTTTTAATTACAGCCTGTGTATTTATGACAGAAATGTAGGAGAGGGAGAGAGGGACCACCATAAGGCCCCGCTGACCAATAAGGACCAGTTAAAGCCATGTGGCCTTCAACAACTCATCAGCGCCTTGTCTCTCCCAAGCACTCAACAATCTAGCCTGACAAAATCTCAAATAAAAAACACAATGAATGATTCCAAAGAAAAATATGTTGGGGATGGAGATATGAAACTCCAAGAAACTGTTTACCAGTCACTGCAGAGACTACAAAACTGGCTTAATCCCTGGAGGTGCTACATGACTCCAAAGTCAGACAGACACAAGCCTGTACAGACTGAGTGCAAACAGCCTGGAAATCAAATCAGGATGGCACATGCAGACCTACAAGCCGAGGGAGAGTAGACTGCCAGCAAAGTGACCAAGGGGTCCTGGAGGATGAGGACCACTTCCTGCTACAATGCCCCAAGTACTCATCAGTGAGAAACCCCGACACTCACTTCCAGAGACTCTCTGCTCTTATCCCAGACTTCGATAGAACAGAAGAAGAAACTTCAAATTCAACTGGGAGAAGAGGAGCCAATGGTGAAAATAGCTGCACAATATGTGACAGCATGCCACAGACTGAGAGGGACATGAAAAACTGAGGACTTAAAAATCCTTAACATGGACTCACCCCCCATCCCCTTTATATTACCCCTTCCCCCCCCCCCCCCTTTTTCCATACAAACTGCTTTGGCACTGCTAAAATATTATTCGGCCCTGCCAATAAAGCGCATTTGAATTAGAGATAGAGAGAAAAAAAAAAAAAAAAGAGAAAACTGATTGATTTGTATGCACTTTTGGCATACAGGTTTTACATACAGTAAAATCTCATCATTGTAAGCACCCAGGTCAGTAGTTCATGGTTTGTTTCAACTGCTACATCTGCAGGACAGCTTGTTCTTTTAAACACAAATTTACTTGCAGATCAAAACGTGAAAAGAAAGGTCTAAAAAAGAAACTAATGCAGCTACTACATCTAAAAATTAGTAAGCTGCAATATAATAAATGTTTGCTTTTGGGCTTAATACTATTTTAATGGTTATTAAAAATGATCTTTCAATCTGAAATCTCCGTAATTTTCTAAATCATTGCAATATGTGGCACCTGGAGACTGTGTGATTGGTTATTGATTTTCTCAGACATCTGTACAAAGATACAAATAACATTTTAGGCATCCTCTGCATTAGGAATTTAATTTCTGATGAGATACCCCTTAAGATGGTTGTAAACCTCAGACATGAAAAGCAAGCAAAGCACATCTTTCTATAGTGTGTAGTAGCCTGAATTCAAAGCAGAGAGTATGGTTCTTTTCTGATCCTGCTGCAATCTAAATGTTTCTCTCATGGGACTCTAAGCCGACACCTCAGGATCCCTAAAGAAGGCCCATCCCCTTCCAACAGAAAGGAGGTGACTCGCTCAGACTCAGCTCTGTGTTTTTCCTCCATGAGCTTGTTGGGGGGGGGGGTCTCTTTGCTCCAATCAGCTGCCAGATTTCACATAGCTCTGTGCTCTCTCTGTGGTGTGTGTGACAACATATCCCTGCCCTCTGCTTTCAGCTGCTTAGAGATGTGATATAAAAAGTGTGTTTTTGAAAGCTGTAGAGGAGAAGAGACTGCAGATAAACAGATACAATTTATGTAAGAGGACTTGTTTCGTCTTCATGTATTACATGAGGTTGTCACTTCGCTGGGGATATGCAAGTGTTTACAACCACTTTATGGGTTAAATACATATAAAGGGATGCAGATTTTGCAGCTTTACTCATGAGAAAACAAAGTGCACCAGGTGATTGTAATGAAAGTAGACACTCACAATCAGGAATCGGTCTTGGAACAAAGCACCATTTCTCCAGAAAAAAATAAAATAAAAAAAGGTAGGGACTCGTGGAGTTACGCTTTATGTAACTTAATAAAATGAGTTGTAATGTTCATTATGACCTTAGAAAAGATAGTGAATATGTTAGGTTATACTTATAAAAGAATAAATGCAGGTACACTGAGCCATAATAATATCGGGAGTATATAATAACTAAACCATTTAACTTAGTAACTATTCCAGCTTCAGAATATCCAGCTTTCCATAGTCCACATACCTGCAGCTTGAGTATCATCCATTGCCTTATACTCTGTGTCTTTAATAGCAAGTTCTACACCATAGCCAGATAGGTTAATTTTCTTTGAACTTGGCATCTAGTAGTGACACAAAAAAAAAAAAAAATAGAATTGACGTTTTTAACAAAAAAAAAAAAAAAAAAAAAAATCTATACACACAATACTAAAGCAAGCAGTTTACCCTAAAATGTAGAAAATTATCTAATCAAATATATGCAGTGCTTGACAGAAAAAAAGTCAACAGTGACTTCCAAAAATCATCAATAAGTCAGAGAAATATTTTGTCTACAGGCCAGTCAGATGTTAAACAGTCCAACAGGCAAAAAACAACCTCCTGCATACTTACAGCAGAACTGACTAGACACAGACTGAGTGACTCATCTGAATTTGATAACTGCAGATAAAAGGATTACAATGGATAAGTGGGTTTGTCTTCAAAAATAAGATAGGCGAGTACTGTCCATGAAACTTTATTTGCACTCCATTGCATTCAAAGCAACAAGTGCAACCGAGGATGTGATACTGGTGAAACAGGACTGAAATGACAAAACAGAATGAAACTACACCAGACCACACTATGGAGGACATGAATGTCTTGGTTCTTAAAGCTCATAATAGAAAAAAAACTTCTCAAATACAAAACAAACATTCTACTTGATACCAAAAAGGTAATGGACGGAGTATGAAAAAAAGCTGCGACTCAAACACACAAAAAAACGCAACCACAGCTGCATTTTTGATGCGTTTTTGCCACGCTTTTAAATTTTCCATTAATTTGCTACCTTTTTGGTGAAGTTTTCTTTTTTCTTTTTTTTTTTTACCACACCAAAAATGTAGCAAGCAGGACTTTGTAAGACACTATGAACTCGAAAGTGGCCAGTGTGAAGAGTTCCAAATAATTTAATGGTCATGCTTTTCTATGACTTTTTCTAACTTAAAAAAAAAATAAAAAATAAAAAAAAAATAGATCAGTGTGAAAGCAGTAGTAGTTCACAGCTGTTGTGTTTTGATCAACAGCAGGGGTCAGTTTTTTTTTTCTCTTTTTTAGTACAGCGTCCTACACCTGGTTGCAATACACATAGGTTTCTTAAGTACTAAAGCAAAGCTATGTACTCCAATAGGCTGAGAGACAGATTTCCTGACCTGGGGGAAAACTTTTTACCAGACAGGAAGTGAAGGAATTTCTTCAAACAGGGCCTCCAACAGCAGTAAAATCTGGCAGTTTTAATCCCCCGCCACCCAAAATGTTTTACCAATGTTTGAGTTATACATGCACTTAAACCCTTTCGCTCAGCCACAGATGTGAGGCTTAAGTCAGCAGCAGCGGGGTATTTACACACACTCCTGGGTGTCAGAGGGTAGAACGGGGCAGATCACCGTATGCCAATCGTGCCCCCTCTGGTGAATGATCCCTGAGCACTTTGCCACTTCTGGGTTCAAAGCTGCCATTCATTGGCAGCACCGACTGAGGAAGCAGCTAATCAAGCACAACTTGTGACAATTTTGAATAAACATTGCTCTAATATCATGGAACATAAAATTGCAACCAACACAATTTTATTCTACAGTGTCTCTGCTTTTAGAAAATACATAATGTATGGAGATTTAAAGGGATACTAAACACACACTCTTTAACTTACATTATCCCTTCTCTTTCTGTATGTGGATGATGGTACTGTAATTATTAAAGGAGAAAAAAAAAAAAAAGCACCTTAGGATCTTTTTCCCTAATCGATATATTGGACCCAGTTATTTTCCAGCCTGTCTGCAGAGAAACAGGAGGAGATTACAGTTCTCTGCTACAGTCTTCCAGTCACAAGCTGTATCACTCCCTTCCAGTCTGTGTCTTAGAATAACAGGGAGGTAAAGCCTTCATCAATCAAGATGTAATATCCCACTCCACCCCCATTGTGTTTAGCTGGTTAGTGGGCATGGAGGAGGAGAAAGGGAATGAGCTGTCATTTACCACTGTGTAAACACCCACATGCGTGACTATAGTCTCATGGGCTGCACAGATGTGATAGGGAGGAGATGCTCAGGGTAGAAAATAAACTGAAAACCAAGTGTTCGCACTAGCTGCCAATACTGCTCTGCAAAATCCCCAACTGCATTGGGGACATGGACAAAAGGGGAGACAGAACATGACACAGACTACTCTTCAGGCCTAAAATGCACATGTCAACGTGTGCAAGAATGGCCCTGGAAGCGAAAGGGTTAAATTACAACTACATACCTGTATGTAATGTCGCAGTACATAGATTATTCCCCACTTTCTGCCTTTTCGGTCAATGTTTTATGAAATGTGGCAAACTCTTTTGTGCCTACTTCAGCATACAGAATGACTACTGGAGCAGTCTTAATTAAGTGTAGGGAACACATGGTCTCCTTTATATAAATAGGGCCTTGGCCTGAAAAACAGCAGTTACAGCATTTTAATTTCTATACAGCGAATATTAAGTAAACATACCCAAATTTACTGAGATTTAAATAGACATTCACCTCTGCAGTGCATCCTTCAAAAGTTTCTTAACCTGACTTGCCTTGCAGGTGTGACTTCCATGGATAGAGACAAACGCACCGCAACCTTCTGGAGGAGGCTCATCAGCTGCAATCTAGAATGTTAATAATTACATTTAAACAAGAGGCTTTAATTGCATTTCATCTTCAAATGATTGTGTACTTCCTGATTGAAAGCTCACATTTGATTAATTTTGGAGTGTGTTTCTGAAGATAGAATGACGTGTCAAGGAAAGCATAAACAAACATATGTATGTGGTAGTCCGAGAAAAAAATAAATCTGGTTATAGATATGAAAGCACTGCAACCGCTTGCTGACTGCATAACTCATATCTGTATGCAGCAGCAAGGAAGGTGGGATAAAGGACCCCACGTGTCTACAACAGCAGCATGTTGTGTGCTGAGTGTGAGCTCACTGCATGCCCTCGGCACACTGACCGACTCGTCATCACAGCTCTTGGACAGAACTTCTGATCGATAGATAGTGGGACAGGCTGTGAGAGCCAGTGACAGCAAAAACATAATACAGAAGCCGTGCCACCTTTCAGGCACTAAAGGAAGTTGTGTGTAAAGGTTAATAAGATAGGGGATTTATTTGTAAAGACATAATAGTGACATTCACCAATTATTTGTGGTGAATCATTCACACATTAAAAGTGGAAACTTTGCCTGTCCTGACAAATTACATTTCTTGTCGCATTTACCCAAAGCATGATAAGATGACATTGGTCTTCCAGAATTTTTATCGAGAACCTTCTTTCCTCAGTTTATACAAACAGCACCAAAGAGTTAAGCATTCTGATCTCCCTTCACTGCTGGCCCAAATCTTAAAAACAACGCTAGTCAAAAAAATTATATATATATAGTACAGTTAGCGTTCAGCTTTATTGTAAGTGCTCAGTGCTTGTTTCCAGTGTTAGATATTAAAGTGTAGCCAAAGCTTTTTTGGCTGTACTTCTCCTGGGGATCACAGGAGTGCAGTTAATTCTGCACTCCTGTGGCCCATTTTCAGCTAAAGCCTGCTGTCGGCTGATGTCTCAGTGCCAGTCCAGGCCCTGAAAAGATCTAGACCATATGGTCAGGATCCACCCACAAGCCTGGACCGGCACCTGGAGCTTCTCAGGCTGAGAGCTTTGTCCCCGATGCTCCAGTGAGCTTGGAGGAGAAGAGCAGTTGGTGACTGACAGTCATGGCTTCTACTCACAGAACACTGAGAACTGAGTGATCAGCGGTCTTTGATTGCTTAGTTCTCAGTGTTAGACCTGGCAGGTGACAGATGCAACATTTGGATCGATGCTGAATCCAATACCTACGTAGGTGAATATCAATTCTTTTGTTGTTAAACCGTACGTCTCTTTTTAGTGTTTAGGTAGAGATGGGTTAGGTGATGATGGTTAGTAAAAGTTGTGTTAGTGATGTCTGTACTTTTTTCATTACATATTCCCAAGAATAATCATAAGATAAGAATAAGAAAAGAGAGGCCCAGCTATACCAGATCACCTTTATGGGATGTTAACCAAGGGACAGGGAGTTGATATATCATACAACATGTTCTGCCCAGAATTAATTACACCAGTCTATTCCTAGATGCTTTGCCCTAATATTGATCAAAGCTAGAGCTTCCAGTTCTGTGCAATAAAGGTTTATGTTTCATAACAAATTAATTTTTGCTGGAATATGTGCATCCAAATATTTAATAAAAAGGGTTACAACATTCAATCACAAAGGCACAATAAAATTTAAAAGGAGTATAGAAGCGCACTTGGTCATATTTATGATGTAGTATTGCACTATAAAAAACAAACATTCAACATAGTCTCAAGCAATCAAGCGACAATATTGGTATATACATACATACATACATACACACATACATACAGTATCTTACAGAAATGAGTACACCCCTCACATTTTTATAAATATTTTATCTTTTCATGTGATAACACTGAAGAAATGACACTTTGCTACAATGTAAAGTAGTGAGTGTACAGCTTGTACAACAGTGTAAATTTGCTGTCCCCTCAAAATAACTCAACACACAGCCATTCATTTCTAAACTGCTGGCAACAAAAGTGAGTACACCCCTAAGTGAAAATGTCCAAATTGGGCCCAAAGTGTCAATATTTTGTGTGGGCCATCATTTTCCAGCACTGCCTTAACCCTCTTGGGCATGGAGTCCTCTTCCACTGCTCCATGATGACATCATAGAGCTGCTGGATGTTAGAGACCTTGCACTCCTCCACTTTCTGTTGGAGGATGCCCCACAGATGCTCAATAGGATTTAGGTCTGGAAACATGCTTGGCCAGTCCATCACCTTTACCTTCAGCTTCTTTAGCAAGGCATTGGTCGTCTTGGAGGTGTGTTTTGGGGTCATTATGTTGGAATATTGCCCTGTGGGCTCATTCTCCAAAGGGAGGGGATCATGCTTTGCTTCAGTATGTTACAGTACATGTTGGCATTCATGGTTCCCTCAGTGAACTGTAGCTCTCCAGTGCCGACAGCACAAATGCAGCCCCAGACCATGACACTCCAACCACCATGCTTGACTGTAGGCAAGACACACTTGTCTTTGTACTCCTCACCTGGTTGCCACCACACACGCTTGACACCATCTGAACCAAATCAGTTTATCTTGGTCTCATCAGACCACAGGACATGGTTCCAGTAATCCATGTCCTTAGTTTGCTTGTCTTCAGCAAACTGCAGGCTTTTTTGTGCATCATCTTTAGAAGAGGCTTTCTTCTGGGATGACAGCCATGCAGACCAATTTTATGCAGTGTGCGGGGTATTGTCTGAGCACTGACAGGCTAACCCCTCCACCCCTTCAACCTCTGCAGCAATGCTGGCAGCACTCATATGTCTATTTCCCAAAGACAACCTCTGGATAGGACGCTGAGCACGTGCACTCAACATCTTTGGTTAACCATGGCCTGTTCTGAGTGGAGCCTGTCCTGTTAAAACCGCTGTATGGTCTTGGCCACCGTGCTGCAGCTCAGTTTCAGGGTCTTGGCAATCTATGGATTGTTTAGATAATCTCCTATGACATAGTTTTAATAAATCTAGTGTCCAATTAGATTGTATAGTCAGACTAAAATAGCCACACAGTGTGGATCTTCTGTATAATAGACAAAACACTGGCAATCGCGTTTAATATATTTTATGATGGTGTCAAACATTGTCAAAAAAGATTTGCCAAGGCAACCACACCAACAATGCCAGAATCAATTTTCAAAATATAAAAAGAAAGATACATCTCCAGCAACTCTGCTACCCATAGGTTATCCCCAGTTTAGAGCAGTTAGCAGGGTTGTTAGTTGTCCAGTACATTACAGACAGTAGGGAAGGGTTAAATCCTCAGTCGGTGGTCTAAATCAGTGGTGGTCACTGGAATATAATAGGGGGCTTCAAGAACAGGCCCTGACACTTCCCAAGAGTCGCACAATAGCTTTGTTTTTCTGTGCATTGAGATGCCTTGTATTGAGTTAGGCAGCCTATTCAAAATGAATGCACTGTAGCATGGCTGAAAATTTCTGTCAGCTGCATTTGTTTTGCAATTTACCGCAAAAAAATGCAGTTGGAACCATTGGTGGCAGAGGCCAACACACACACACACACTAACCCCCTCACCTCAATTAGTGGCAGTGTTTTTTAATGCCACTTTCTCCCCACACTGGTGAACCACGCGGTGGATTTTTGAATACATTTTTCCTTCCCCTGCTTTGCTCATCACTGCCAGTGTTTTTAACCCCGTCCACCCCCACACTGGTGACCAGTGCCAGTGTTTTTAATGCCGCCTCCAACCCCTACACACTGGCGATCAACAGTTCAGATCAACAATTTTTTGTTCCACACCCACACTGGCAATCAGTGCCAGTGTTTTTTAACCCCTCCCCGTGATTCCAAATCACAATCGTGGCATAATGCACCACACGTGTTTAGGAGCCAGTCATTCTTAATGGCACCTCAAATGTGGTGCAATTTTGGCATGATTGTTGTGCAGCAAAACGCAATGCATGAAGCTTGTTGCCCAAAAAGAAGCAGGAGCTTCTTTTGGGCGCCAGCTTCGTGTGATGCATTTTACCACGTGACAATCATGGCAAAAATAACAGAGTTTGGGGTGCCATTAGGAATAAAATGACACCCACATACATCATGCGTTTTGCCACGATTGTAGTGTGATTTGAAATTGCAGTGATTCTGTCCGCAATTCAAAATCGCCAAGTGCAAATGCAGCCTCAGTAAGCATTAACTATTTTTACATTTCTATTTTTTTTTTTTGTACATTTTTTCAGTTGCTTTCTGGTTTCTGGCTGGCCTAGTCCAAAATTAAGTCATACATCCCAGGAGTGTTCAAAGGAGAGTCTCTGTCAGCTAAGCACATCCTCCTGTCTGCATATCAGAGCTAAGGGCAGATGGATTCCAGGAAATAAAAGCTACATGAATCATCTGCCATACATAAGATTGCTACGGCTAGAAATTCAGGGGGTGTTTTCCAAAGTGATTTCTCAACAAAAATAAAAGCATGAGACATAGCTGTAAGAGAGCGCATTGAAAATAAAAAATGAAATGACGTTTTCAGTTTGTGGTGCTCAGATAAAGTTTATTGCTGCTTTAAAGAGAGTCAAAGTTCTTACTTTTGAAAAGAAAAAAAAAAAAATATTCAGGGCAGTAATGTGATATTTTGAAAGAGCTGAAGTGTAAACATGTTTCTAGGGTGCAGCACAGAGACAAATAGCCATTCAAAGCTTTCCTTCATACACCATGTCAATTACACATCTTGGCGAAGTAGAATGCAAAGCATACAGCCACAGGACAATACAAGGCTAGGATCAATGACCAGGCATAGGACAAGGACAGTGTAATCCAGAATAATAAAATAAAGGTCAAGAGTGGTATGAAACAAAAGATACTGGTATAAAGGATAAACATAAAAACAAAATAGATATATTGTACATACGTAGAACACAATAACAAAATTGTTGAAGATAGAAATGAAAACAAGTGCATAAACAAAAAGTAGTATGAACAAGGGCTTAAGAAAAAAAAAATTATAAAGCTTACTGTATATGGATAAATCAATTATTAAAAAGACCAATATATTGTAAAAGTTCTTGCGAAGACATTAGAAACATATGAATAGTCTTAATGTAAAGCAAAAAAAAAACGTATTATCCTTTTACAAAAAAAAAACAAAAAAAATCAAGCTTCACCAACAGTATAACAACAAGATGACAGATACCTGTTGGAACATCTGTACAGTGGGAGAGTACGCCCTTAAAGAAAAAGCAAATTTCAACAAGGTGAGCTGAAGGTCTGACAGAAACTGGCCAGCTTTCTTTAGTATTAGACTGTAGAAGGAGTACTCAGAGTCTGAAAAAGAAAAATTGAAATTCTAAATGTTAACCTGTATACATTAAAGTGCAATTCAAACGCCCCTCCACCAATACTAAAATACAATGTTGTGTCATGTTTACATTGTTAAAGCGTAACTTCACCCAAAAAGGGAAGTTTCACTTTTCGCCCCCCCCCCCCCCCCCCCCAACGCATTTGGACAATATTGTTTTTAGTGGGGAGCAGGTACCAAGATTTCACAGGTACCCGCTCCCACTTTTGCTCCGATCGTCTAGGCGATCCAAACGAAAAGTTCAAACAACCCCCCCCCCCCCCCCCCGCACACAGCTTTCTTGTACATGTCACAAGTCCCAAAAGATTGCAGGACCATCCTCAAAGCGCAGCGCGACTTTCACATGTGCAGTAGGAAGCCAGCTGTGAAGTCACTAGGACTCACAGCCAGCTTTTATTAGTAAACATGCCAGGGACCTGAAAAATGGTGAAGAAATGACTCAAGTGAGGAGAGCACTAGATCCTTGAAGAGTTAAGTATTCTTATATTCCAACTCAGCAGCTACAAATACATTTGTAGTTGCTGACCTTTCTTCTTCTTTTTTTTTTTTTTTTGGGATTTAAAGCACATCTTAACCCAAGAATAAAAATGTTATATAATACAACATACCAGTCCTTAAAGTGAAACAAAACTCAGTTTAAAAAAAATAAATAAATAAAAATTTGATTCAAAGCAGAAATTTACTGGTAACTTGTTAAAAAAATGTTCTTTAGCAAGAAACACACATGCCACATTAATTATACTACTAATATTAGCATGTGTAAATAGCTTCCAGCATTGTTCCGGTTTCTTCTTGTTGGAGGCTGTCATTTTGTTAAAGCGCAGAGCCCCTGAGCAGCAGTAAATCATCAGCAGATCAGCCTCTACATTTTCAGCACAGTGCCAAGAAATAAAGCACAACTAAGCATGTGCAGAGCAGAGTGAGACAGTGTATTACTGGAGTTTAAAGTAGTATAGGTATTTATTTTCAATGTTTTACATAGCCATACCTGCAGAAGGGGCCAGCCTGAATGATCTAGCAGGACTTCTTTCTAAAGTTCCACTTTTAAGTATGTATTCTTAATTTAAAATAGTACCTTCTATTGCTCTCAGCCGGCTATGTTTGTTCCCCATAGTTCTATTGTATACAAGAATGTAGCCACCCTCGTTTGCTCACACCGAGATGACCTAAGGACTATGGGTTTTGTAGTTTGCTTAGAGCAGTGCACAGGGTTGCTACTAACGTGCACTGCTCATTTCAAACAAACAGAAGTAGGATAGGATGAAAAGTACACTATACTGCCAAAAGTATTGGTCGGCCTGCCTTTACACACACACAAACTTTAATGTCATCCCAGTCTTAGTCCGTAGGGTTCAATATTGAGTTGACCCACCCTGTGCAACTATAACAGCTTCAACTCTTTTGGGAAGGGTGTCCACAAAGTTTAGGAGTGTGTCTATGGAAATGTTTGACCATTCTTCCAGAAGTGCATTTGTGAGGTCAGGCAATGATGTCGGATGAGAAGGCCTGGCTCATAATCTCTGCTCGAATTCATCCCAAATCTCTTGGTATGCTGATGCCTTTAGGAGTTCCCTTCACTGGAACTACGGGGCTAAGCCCAACCCATGAAAAACAGCCCCACACCATAATCCCCCCCTCCACCAAACTGTGTGCTTCAGCATGGGCTGACCCCACTCAGTCACAAAGTGGTAGGCCACGTAAAATGACAGAGTTACTGTTCCCAGTGGCTTCCACTTTGTTATAATACCACTGACAGTTGACTGTGGAATATTTAGTAGCAAGGAAATTTCATGGTTGGACTTACTGCACAGGTGGCAGCCTATCATGGTACCACGCTTGAATTCACTGAGCTCCTGAGAGCAACCCATTCCTTTCACAAATGTTTGTAGAAGCAGTCTGCATGTCTAGGTGCTTGATTTGATACACCTGTGCCCATGGAAGGTGATTGAAACATCTGAATCCAATGATTTGGAGGGGTGTCCCAATACTTTTGGCAATGAATTACAGTGATACTAATGCAGGCCATAGATGGGTCGAAAATCGGCCGATTTTTCGGCCGAAAAAAAATAAAATCGGCCAATTTTCGGATCGTTAGTGGGCTATTTGGTCGGCCGTTTTTCGGTATTTTGGCCATTTTTTTTTTTTGTAAAGTTGGAAAAAAATGTCGATTTTGCCGATCGGCCGATTTTCACGGCAATAGTGGGCAAATCGGCCGATTTTTTGCCGATAAAAAATCTGCGCATGAGCAGTGACCTGCAAGAGGAAGACAAAAAAAAGAAAAAGAAGAAGAGGAAGAGGATGAAGAAGATGAAGAGGAGGATGATGAAGAAGAAGAAGAGGATGATGAAGAAGAAGAAGAAGGATGATGAAGAAGAAGAAGAGATAGAGGTGAAGAAGAAGAAGAAGAGGATGAAGAAGAAGAAGAAGATGGAATGAAGAGGATGATGATGAAGAAGAAGAGGAAGAAGATGAAAAGAAGAAGAAGAGGATGATGAAGAAGAAGATGAGGATGATGAAGAAGAAGGAGAGGATGAAGAAGAAGAAGAGGATGAAGAAGAGGATGAGGAGAGGAAGAGGATGAAAATGAAGAAGGAAGAAGAAGAGGATGAGAAGAAGAAGGAGGATGAGGATGAAGAAGAAGAGGTGAGGATGAAGATGAAAAGAAGAGGATAAGAGAAGAAGAAGAAGAAGAAGAAGAAGAGGATAAGAAGAAGAGGATGAAGAAAGAGAGAAGAAGAGGATGAAGAAGAGAGAAGAAGAGATGAGAAGAAGAGAAAGAGAAGAAGATAGAAGAAGAGGAAGATGAAGAAGAAGAAGAAGAGGAAATGAAGAAGAAGAAGAGGATGAAGAAGAAGAAGAGGAGGATGAAGAAGAAGAAGAGGAAGAAGAAGAGGAAATGAGGAAGAGGATGAAGGGAAGAAGAAGAAGGAAGAAGAGGAAGAGGAAGAAGAGGAGAAGAAGAAGAGAGGATGAGAAGAAGGAAGAAGAAGAAGAAGAAGGAAGAAGATGAGAGGAGGAGAAGAAGAAGAGGAAGAAGAAGGAAGAGGAGGGATGAAGAAGAAGAAGGGAAGAAGAAGAAGAGGAAGAAGAAGAAGGAAGAAGAAGAAGAGAAGAAGAAGAAGAAGAGGAAGAAGAAGAGGAAGAAGAAGAAGAGGAAGAAGAAGAAGAGGAAGAGGATGAAGAAGAAGAGGAGGATGAGGATGAAGAAGAAGAAGAGGAAGAAGAAGAAGAGAAGAGGAAGAGAGAAGAAGAAGAGAGAAGAAGAAGAAGAAGAAGAAGAAGAAGAAGAAGAAGAAGATGAGAAGAAGAAGAAGAGGAAGTGAGGATGAAGAAGAGGGTGAGGATGAAGAGGAAGAAGAGGGTGAGGATGAAGAGAAGAAGAGGGTGAGGATGAAGAAGAAGAAGATGATGAGGATGAGGATGAGGGGGAGAAGAAGAGGAAGAGATGAAGAAGAGGAGAGGAGGAAGAAGAAGAGGAGAGGAAGAGGAAGAAGAAGAGATTGTAGAAGGATGAAGAAGAAGAGGAAGAGAAGAAGAAGAGGAAGAGAGGAAGAAGAGGAAGGAAGAGGAGGAAGAAGAGGATGAGGATGATGAGAAGAAGAAGAGGGTGAGGGATGAAGAAGAGGGTGAGGATGAAGAAGAGGGTGAGATGAAGAAGAGGGTGAGGATGAAGAAGAAGAAGAGGGTGAGGATGAAGAAGAAGAAGAAGAGGGTGAGGATGAAGAAGAAGATGAGGATGAAGATGAGGAGGATGAAGAAGAAGAGGATGAGGATGAAGAAGAAGGATGAGGAAGAAGAAGAGGATGAGGATGAAGGAAGAAGAATGAAGGAGGAAGAAGGATGAGGATGAAGAAGAGAGGAGATGAGGATGAGAAGAAGAGAAAGAGGGGATGAAGAGGAAGAGATGAGGATGAGAGATGAAGAGAAGAAGAAGGGAAGAAGAGGAAGAAGAAGAAGGATGAGAAGAAGAGGATGAAGAAGAGGATGAGGATGAAGAAGAAGAAGAGGATGAGGATGAAGAAGGTGAGAGGAAGAAGAAGAGGAGAGGAAGGAGAAGAGAGAAGATGAGGATGAAGAAGAAGAGGATGAGGAGGGAAGAAGAAGAAGAAGATGATGAGGATGAAGAAGAGGGATGAAGAAGAAGAAGAGGATGAGAGAAGAGAGAGGATGAGGATGAGGAAGAAGAAGAGGAGGATGAGGATGAAGAAGAAGGATGAAGGAAGATGAGGATGAAGAAGAAGAAGAGGATGAGGATGAAGAAGGAAGGAAGAAGAAGAAGATGAGGATGAAGAAGAAGAAGAGGAGAGAAGAAGAAGGAGGATGAAGAAGAAGATGAGGGATGAGGATGAAGAAGAAGAAGAGGATGAGGATGAAGAAGAAGAAGAGAAGATGAGGATGAAGGAGAAGAAGAGGATGAGGATGAAGAAGAAGAAGATGAGGATGAAGAAGAAGAGGATGAGGATGAAGAAGAAGATGAAGATGAAGAAGAAGATGAAGATGAGAAGAAGAAGAGGATGAGGATGAAGATGAGGAAGAAGAATGAAGAAAGAAGAAGAAAGAGAAAGAATGAAGAAGAGGATGAAGAAGAGAGGATGAAGAATGAGGATGAGGATGAAGAAGAGGATGAAGAAGAGAGGAAGAGGAAGAAGATGATGAAGAAGAAGAAGTAGGATGAAAATAAGAAGAATTCCAGTCCAGCAAAAAGTGTCTCTGCAGAGAGCTCCGCTATTTCTGACAGTTCTCTGACAGTTCTTTGACATTTACAGCGGTTGCAACAATGTATCTATTTGTTTCCGAATAAAAACATCTGTATACTAAATGGAAACAAATAGATACAATGTTTCAAACCGCTGTAAATGTGAAGGAACTGTCAGAGAACTGTCAGAAATAGCGGAGCTCTCTGCAGGGACACTTTTTGCCGGCTGTAGAAGGGATGAAAATCGGCCGATTTTTTTTACCATTGATG